TTATAATATAAATGGGGAAACTGAGAAAGAAAAAGAAAAGCGAATTTTTTTTTTTTTTTTAAGTCAGCATCATTTCAAACTATTTGGGAGTACACATTTCCGAGTAAACTTTCTAACATTAAATTTATAAAAACTTGCTTTGGTTTTTAACCCTGAGCACCATTCTTTTAGAGCACAGAAATGAAAGATATGAGTAAACATTCATTCATAAATAAAAATGTATAGTACCTGGTAATATCTTCGGTCAACTGAGAAGGATCAGGAGGATAAAACTTCACATTAAAAGTGAACAGCCAGGGAAGATCTGGAATTATTAAACATGAAGGTTATTTACTCAATCCACAGAAGAGCTACTTATTTTGCTCAAACTTAGAGGTCAGTGTTCAAACAATACAGAAGATTAATCTCACAGTAAGTCAGTTTAGAGATTTTTTTCCCCCCATTTAAAGTAGCATCATTTATAAAACAAAAACAAAATTAATAAAAATCAATTATATAAATCCCACCAAGAAAAAAGACATTCACTTTTTAAATAAACATTTGCTGGAACTTCAGCAAATGTCTTCTATGGTGATCCGTAATGCAATCACACTAATATAACTTATGCACTAATAGTTCTAAGGTAAGACTTCTTTTTACCACAAGACTTCCAAGGATCATATAGTCTCCATTCTTAAAAAACAAAAAAAGTCTTTTAGGGTTTTGACATGGTTTGGAGAAGGGCGGTAAAGATCAAGTGACAATGATAACTACACAAAAAATGATTCGTGAACTTTTTGAAATGTTAAAAGAGATCCCACAAGAAAATAATGAACAAAACTCAAAATTGTAAAAAGACCAGGTTCATGGATCAGAAAGAAACTGGAGGAACCAAGACTATGGCTCTTGGTCAATCCTCAAGTCTGGAACTGAACTCACCCTCTTGGTTCAATTGTCATACTTCCTGATTTTAAACCGTATTATATGGCTACAGGAATCAAAACAGACTAGTACTGGTATTAACAACAGACACAAAGACAAGCAAAATAGAATTGAAAGACCAGAAAAACACTCAGACAGCTATGATCAATTGGTTTAACAAAGATGCAACCTCCATTCCATGGGAAGAATCTCTTCAATTAATGGTGTGATGAAAACTGGATTTCCACATACAGAAAACGGAAACAGGATCCATGACTCACACCATAAACAAAACAAATTCAAAATGGATTAAGGACCAGGAGTCTAGGTGTGGTACTTCAGGATAAGCTTTTGAACTGCAAAGTTGGCGGTTCAAGTCTACCAGCTGCTCCTCAGAAACCCTATACACAGGGTCTCTCTGAGTCAGAACCGAATCGACGGGAACCAACGTGACAGCACTTAACGTGCCATCTATTACCTTAAAATTCTTGGAAGAAAATGAAGGCAGTAACAAATAGCACTAACAGTAAAACACAGAATACATAAATGGATCTCATAAAAATTTTGTTCACCAGAAACTGCCAAAAATGTGAAAAGACAAGCTACTAACCAATAGATTGATTACCTTCAGAAATCATGTCTGACAAGAATCTAATAACTAAAATAGGATGGTATGTCAAAAGCATTGCTATTAAGGTTCCAGTTCATACAAACATAGGCTTATTCCATACAAAACTATATTCTAATATGTCTCTGTGTTAGTGAAGGGTGCAAACAAATCCTGTTAGCAATACATTTGTCTTAGTTTCATTAGGGTGCCTTCAAAGGGAAAAAAGAAAGGAAGTAAAAAAAGTCCAGTCAAAAACAGTGGTTCCTGGGGCCAGTTAAATTTAACTGGTGGGCTACTTAATATCAAGGTAGAGAGGTGAGCCCTGAGGGGAATGGCAACTGTTATTTGGGATTCCCAAGAGTAATAATCTTGATAAATTTTCTTTACGGACACAAGGTTGCCACTGAGGCTTATTAGGTAGAAATTTTAAGAAAATTTAAAATGGCACTAGTGAAGAAAACCGTCAGCAAAGTTACACTGAGAAATTTTTTTCCATTATGAAAATATACCTGTTGATCCATGGAGGGTAGAATTTCTTTAGGAAACCTTAATCTTATTTACCCCAAAGCCCTAATCTTGCCCTTCAGAATCCTTTTTGTTTCCCAAACTTGAACATTTCAAAGGAACATGATTTGAGTCCCTTGAAGAAACCAGAACTGCCGTTTTGATGTGATATAAATCAAAGAGCCCAGATTTCTTTGGGGAAGGGTAAGAGAAATGGAAACAACACCTTTAGAAGTGTATAGACCTAATGGAGGATAACAGAAGAACAGTAACTTCACATTTTGTATTTTTGTTTAATAAAGATAACTATGTGGCAGCATCGAAGCAGTAGTGAGGTTGGCCCAGGATCGGGCAGTATTTCATTCTGCTGTGCATAACGTTGCTATGGGTCGGTACTGACTCAATGGCACCTCACAAGAACCGACTCAATGGCACCTCACAATGGCACCTCACAAGAACAAAAATGTGGGTTAATGCACCAGACTGGAAAGCCATGTGAACTGCAAGGTTGGCAGTTCAAGCTCACCAGCTGCTCCTCAGAAACCCTACACAGGGTCACTATGGGTCGGAATTGACTCGATAGCACTTCAAAACAACAACAATGGTTTTGTAGCAAGATTTTTAGATTTAACCTCATGTATATAAAACGTCTACAACTTAACAGAAAAAGACAAATAACTCAATCATAAAATGGGCAAATGACTTGAGGTAGACATCTCGCCAAAGAAGATACTCAAATAGCCAACAAACACATGAAAACATGCTCGATATATCACTTGCCATCAGAAATGCAAATCAAACCACAATAAGATACTCAAAAACATTAATATTTACCTTTATTAATTGCCCATTAATTCAAAACAATAATAATAAAACCACCATACAAAAGGATAGGCTATACAATTGATTGGAATACCTAAAATGGGGCTACAACGTGTCCAGTGAAGGAAGCTTCCTGCAGAGCCTCTGCAATACATAAAACTACAGGTGGAAGCCTGAACCACAACCAGATCTCCAGAGATGGGAAATTTCCACTTTAAAGGATGAGCAGACCAGCCTGGAATGGCTAAAAGAACAGAAGATACTTCTTGAAAGACAGACCTATAGGAAAAATATAAATCAACATAGGCAGACCTACTATTACTCTAAGAACAAGCAAGTTGCTTACACAGGAAACATCAAGGCAAGTGGTTGGGTCCCCCTTCCAAGACTAAGACTCAATGGGAATACACGCTCGGATTGGTGACCACGCTCATCAACAATAAGGGGAAGTGAGGGAAAAACAGCAGTGAAGCTGCAAGCTAAGCCCTACAATGTTCAAAAGACTTCTGTGAACCCGGGTGAAGATCTGGTTGGCCAGCAGGGTGGCAAGACCTGAGGACTCTTGGGCCCAGAGTAAGTGACATAGCCACAGAGGACTGACTAGAGTGGAGAGTGAAGCATCCAGCAGATGAGAGGGCATATGCCAAAGAACACCCACACTTGCAGATGATACCCACTTGCCCTGGCTTCAATGACTGGATGATCAGAGCTCAACCAGAAGAAAGAGGGGAAAAAAAGAGTAATCTGATACAATTTGAGCAAGAAGTTACTGGCTTACAAGCTTTCAAGAGGGAACCTAGATCCAGAGGGCTTGGAGGAAGGTAGAATCTCCAGTGAGTAGTATCCAATCTGTCTAGGCAGGGCTGATGAAATGAGATGCAGACGGGTCTCCTGTGATACAATAGTGAATAATTGTTATCAAGACTTATTGTGAGGGTTGGGAATGTAAAGGTAGATGTTTTATAGCAAGGAGGGGAGTGATTAACTTTCCAGTTTAGGAGTGGAAGTCCCTAGGACCATCAAGGGAGAAGAGCAGAGAGCGGGACCCTACCCAGAGAAGCAGTGATGCCTGAGATGGAGGCAGATACGATGACGTGGAGCGATGGAGCAGCTGGGGACTTTAGCTCCAGAGAGGGAGAGGGGCTTGTGCTGAAGACCGGGGAGAGGGGGTGTGTGTTGGGGGCCGGTTTGCAGGATATACCCTTTGGTTGGTTGATGATCCATTGAGGGGATTGTAACCATGGTAATGAGACAATATATGATAGAATGAATGTAAAACTAATGTTCTCCCATGTAAACTATCACATAATTCACAATAAAACATTTAAAAAAAAAAATGGCTAGGCTAAAATAATCCAAGCTCTTTATTTAGTCCATTTTAACACAAGCAGAAAAAGCAACAGCCAAACGTCATTTTCTAAGTCTACTTTCATGATTATAACATTACAGAATGCCATTTGAAGAGCTGGCTCCAAAAGTCTGAAAAAGTCAGATCCTATTTATCCTGTTATCCCTCCTGCCAAACCACAAGGGCAAAAGTCTGAAATAACTCTAAAATAACAAATAATCAAAATAGAGTTATATAATCCATAATCAACAAGAGTTTTGCATTTCCAAAAGTAAGGAATTCTCCAAGACTCTGAAATGAGCAGCATACAAGAGCCAAAACAAAACCATAGACAACAACCAGATGGATTATCAAAGGATTTTGGAGATTATCCTGTTCTCTCTATGGTTTAGGTCACTTGACAGACAAGTCAGGTTTCAGAGAACGTATAAGTACTAAGCATCTCTTATGTTTCTAAATCCATGCATTCATACAAAAAAGCATGTCAGAACTATAGAGACAATGACAAATATTCTCAATCTTTCTGGTACAATTTCTTCTATAATTAACCAAACCCACTGTCTTCAAGTACATTTCAACCAGGGACCTACCTATATAGATTTTGCAAGACAGTAATCTTTACAGAGCACACACAGCCTCATCTTATTCCCATAGAGCAGTTGGTAGGTTTGCACCTCCCACCTTGTGGTTAGCAGTTTTATATTTACCCCACAACTCCAATGTGGGCTCTTTTCTATAATGTAAGCACAATGCATCTATGTCTATTAAAATCCTTTTCTTTTTTTCCTTCATGATTAGAAACTACTAGATGAAACAGAGAGAATCAAAGAGAACACACATGTGTGCAAGCACATATCATGCCATTTATGAGGACAGGAGGAGGAAGGAACGTTAGACAGCTAGAGAACATAGTCAAAAGTGGAGCCACCGGGTGCCTAAAACATCACGAAAGAAGGACCATCGTAAATGGGAACCCAGGGAGGAAGAAAGAACAGAGCTGTAACACTGAGGAGATCTAACATCATGAAATCAAATGTGCACAAATTATTGAGTGGAAAACTAAATTATTCTGTAAACAGTTACCCAAACACACACACATACACACACACACACACACACACACACATACACAAGGTATGTTCACCAACTAATTGTCCCAGTTTGACTAGGAGTGCATCCGTTTTATCACTTAAAGTCACTCATATAGGAAACTCCCCTAGTTTTAGCAAAACAAGAAAGTTGATCATTGTTAACCAAGACATTAAAAAAGAGAGAGAGAGGAAATGGGAAGAATAAGGTTTATGCTCCAAATAAAAAGAGAATAGAGAAGGAAAAAAGGATAGAAATGCTATGAAAAATATTCTTAATTCAAGGGAGAAAGAAAAGGAAATGTAGGGAAACTAAAATGGGAGACAGAAGTTAGAAAGAAAGGAACAAAAAGGAAAGGATAGATTTGTTCTAGCGTCTTGATGCTAGGAATAGTAAGGGGAATTAAATCAACAGCAGAAGGGCATTTTGTAGGCTGGCACAAAGGAATCTAGGTTTGAAGGCCCAAACTGCAGAAAAGCTGTTATGAATTTACCACCCTTCAGATGTCTCACCCTGGTGACAATTTCCAGCTGCTCTTGGCTCCCTACCTTTTCTGCTTTAGTCATTCACAGACCCTGAAGTAAATCTAGTGTCTAGATTCCTATCAGAAATTTCTCTGTGGTGATAATTTCTTGGCACAGATATCACAAACCCTGCCAGAGGCAAGGTAACCTGGAAAGGCAGAACCTGTAGAGAGGACCTGAAGCTGCTTAGAGCACATTTGAGTCATTCCGGAATTCTTCAAAGGAGAACAAATGAGGAATTAGAAGAAAGGAACAAGCAAGTCTACTTACAAATCCAAATTCAAAGAACGCATACAGTGGCCTAGGATTGTGGAACAAATGAGAAGGCAGAAAACTGAAAAAGTTGCTCCACAGGTTTTTCCCCCCTAACATCCTCAATCCACTGTATATACCAAACAATAGGGGAGCGGCTTCAAAAAGTTCACAAAGAAATTCCATCATCTCTTATTCTATTTTTCCAAGAACTTTCTGAAACCCATTCATATGCTTCTGTCTTTGGAGCCAGATATCCTTATTTTTATATATCTCCAAACTGCAGTGGAAAAATCCATAGTAACAGTGACAAAGCAGCTCATCATTCTTTCCTCAGGAATAAAAACTACAAAGATATGTTACTTCCGACTGGTAGATATTATGAGGAACTATTTAGGACTGCGAGTATAGAACCTCCTGACCTGTACAAAGCTAGGTACAAAATACAGTCATGATTCAGAAAAAGAACGCTTAGTGTTCTCAACTGCCAATATGATATAAATTCTGTATTGGTGATTCTAGTCTATAAATTCTTTGAATACATTTAAAGATGTCAACTGTTAAGTGTACAGATTACCTTAAAATCATGGTGATTTAAATACTCACTTCTTAGTTGTCTCTTTATTTCTTTAGCAGGATCTAGCCAGTTCTGCAAGGGGGGGAAAAAAAGGCTAATTAATCCATAATACTCATTCCAGATTTCAAGTTTATAGCTCACATACTAATTTATATGTAAATATATTTTAACAAGGAACTATTTAAAGCCACTTTCAGGTATTAGCATTCCACTGGACTATGTTTTTATTATTTAAATGTGTGTTGTTTTATAAATAAAGTATTTAAATACATTTAAGGTTGGGTGGGCCTCTGTCTCTTGGATCTGAAATCAAACATTTTCCCCCTAATTATGAAATACAACATGTCTATATATAGTCTTGGAGTCCTGGCCCTGTGGGCTAATACGCTATACTGCAAAGTTGGTTGGAACTGCAAGGACGATGGTTCAAGCTCACCAGCTGATCCTTGGAAGCCCTAAACAGGGTTGCTAAGGGTCGAAACCAATTCAACAGCATTTAACAGTAACATATATAGTCTTGGAGTCCTGGTATGGCATGTGGGTTAATGCACTGGACTGCAAGATCAATTTGAACTGCAAGGTCGACTGTTTAAGCTAACCAGGCGCTCCTCAGAAACCCTATAGAGGGTTACAATGAGTTGGAACCAACCCTACAGCACTTAACAACAACAACATATACAGTCTTGGAGTTTGGGTGTGGTGCTGTGGGCTAATGTGCTAGACTGCAAGGTTGGTTTTAACTGTAAAGTTGGTGGTTCAAGCTTATCAGTTACTCCACAGAAACCCTGTACAGGGTTGCTATGAATCAGAACTGACTGGACGTCAATTAACAAAAACAATATATGTTCTTGATTCTGCAGTAAAATTTTAAGCAAACACAGTTCCTGAACATCCCTTCCTAAATATGCACCAAGATATGTATGCTTCCTGGTGTGATGCTGTAAGACCAGCACTGGACTGTAAACCACAAAGTCGGCAATTCAAACTCATCAGTTGCGCCTCGGAAACCCTATACAGGGTCAACTTCACAGCACTTAACAACAATGTACACTATTTACTGAGCATCTACAGCATACCAGGTCGCAAGGACACCAAATACAACTCAGTGAAGCGCACTACCAGATCTTATTCAGCAAGGATAAAATAGAAATTAAAAACTATTGGCTAAAAACTTACATACTCCCAATCCAATCCAATTACATCAAATGCTAAAGGCAACTTCTCTTCCTACTTAAACCTTCTTTTGCCCTGTTCTAGAAGAGGGCTTAGATGAGCACCAACCTGTACATAGACCTTGAAGCAGTCATTCCAACAGAACAAGGGGGCAGTGCATAGCTTAAAATCAGGAAAGGTGTGTGCCAGGGCTGTATTATTTCACCATACTTATTCTATCTGGATGTTGAGCAAATAATCCAAGAAACTGGATTCTATGAAGAAGGCTGTGGTATCAGGATTGAAATACGGCTCATTAAACACCTGTGAAATGCAAATGACACACTCTCTTGCTGGAAGTAAAGAAAACTTAAAGCACTTACTGATAAAGACTAAAGAAGATAGTTTTTAATAAGGGTTGCATCTCAACATAGAGAAAACAAAAATCCTCACAAATGGACCAATGATAAATGTAGACAAGACTGTCAAGGATTTCAATTTACTTGATTCCATGATTAGCACCCATGGGAGCAACAATAAGGAAATCAAACAACATAATGCATTGGGCAAATCTGGAAAAGATGTTTCTAAAGTGTGTAAAAGAGGAGATGCCACTTTGAGGACTAAGGTGTGTCTGATCCAAGCCATTTTCAATTGCTTCATATGCAAGGGAAATGTGCGCAATGAGTAAGGATTGATGCCTTTGAAGTATGGTGTTGAAGAAAAACATTCAAAGCACCTCACCATGGAAATGTGCAACCAGAATGCTCCTCAGACTTTGTCTCTCACATACTTTGGGCCATGTTATCTGGAAGTACCAGTCCCTGCAGAAGGACATCATGCTTGGTAAAACAAGGGGTGAACGAAAAAGAGAAAGCCCCTCAAATAATGGACTCATACAGTAGTTGCAACAATGGGTTCAAACACAGGAATGACTTTGAGGATGAACAAGACTGGGCAGTCTTAATTTACCATTATTTCTTCAACCTCATTTCAACTTGGAAGTCAAATATATTCATAAAATTTTCTTTCACTTTTGCCCTAATTTCTGTTCTTTGAGAAATCTACCATTAAAGTTTTTGGGGTTTTCTTGTTTTGTTTTTCATTCTAGGAAATCACTACTTTATCTTTTTTTTTAAAAAAAAAAAAAGGCCACAAGGGAACCAGTACATCCAAACCATATAATGACATCAAATAATTGTCTTCCAACACTATAGGCAAAAGACCCATGGCTAAATATGTATGTTTATGTGTACAGTTTTAAACATATTTTTACCAACCTAGCCTCAAACTGGAGTTCTGGTGTGGCACTGTGGGCTAATTCACTGTACTGCAAAGTTAGTTTGAACCACAAGGTCAGTGGTTCAAACCCACCATCCGCTCCTTGGAAACCCAATACAGGGTCGTTATGGGTCAGAACCGACTCATTGGCACTTAAAAAACAACCCTCAAATTATTATTAAAATTCATTTGAGGAGACAAGTTCATTTTATGAGCTATACTAAACTGAGTAAATAATTAACTTCAAAATAAACTCTACTTAATCTAACAAATATCCCAAATAATGTATTGTATTTGTGCTTAAACAGAACTTTATTCAGACAGACACAACAAATAGTTAAAATGCTTGTTATGTAGAAAATATTAATAACCTGTTTTTAAAGATACACTCAAATGATACAACAGAAAATAAACTTTAACACTGCTTGTATTCAAGCATCTCAACAAAGAACCACCAAAGCTTGGTCTTGTTTTATATCACTAGTATCCCAGCTGCATGTAGCCTCTAATGGTACCTTGATTGCTGTTAGGGAGCAATTCTATTCTCCCCTTAGAAAAGAGCTTAGCATTCCATTTCACCACCCTGCAGCTAAGGTCCCACACCACAGCTGGCTCACTAATGACCAGCTATCATGAGTGCATGAGAATGGGGAAAACACCTTATTCAACCTTTAATCCTCACTGTTCTGAGAAACAGCTCATAGAATTCACCATACTATCAGACAGGGGTCAATCTTTCTTGCTGTGGCTGGTAATAACCACAGCAAGAAACATTGAATCATGGTCCCAAACTGAAAAGAAAACTATCCCTCCGATCATTTACAGAGAAAGAATATGGGGGGCCTGCAAACACCCATCTGAAGCTCCAGTTTCATAAGTGTGGCAATTGGTATAGATGCCTGCTACAGAACAGCATTAAAACAGTTCTGTATGAAGAAAACAGTGTATGCACAGCAGCGGCATCCATGAGCTCACAGAAGAACCCTGTATTCCTGCCATTTGGATCCTCCTAAGTTCAAAGGAGCTCTGGTAGCGTAGTGGTTACGAATCGGGCTGCGAACCTTAAGGTCAGCGGTTTGAAACTAGCAGCCGCTCTGTGGGAGAAAGATGAGGCTTTCTACTCCCGTAAAGATTTACACCCTCGGAAACCCTGTACAGGGTCGTTATGGGTCGGAACCGACTCGATGGCACTTAACAACAACAAGATTAAAGTTGTCAAGGACTTCATTCTTGGATCAACTATCAACACTCACGGAAGCAGCAGTCAAGAAATCAAACGACGTATTGTATTAGGCAAATCTGCTGAACAAGACCTTTTTCAAATGTTACGTCAGCTTGAGGATAAAGGTGCGCCTGACCCAAGCCATGGTATTTTCAATAACCTCATATGCTTGCGAAAGCTGGACAGTGAATAAGGAAGACCGTAGAAGAACTAATGCTTTTCAATTATGGTAGTGGAGGAGAATACTGAAAGTGCCATGAGCCCAAAAGAACAAACAGATCCGTGTTGGAAGAAGTACAGCCAGAGTGCAACTTGGAGGCCAGGATGACCAAACTTCATCTCTCATACTTTGAACATATTGTGAGGAGGGACCAGTCCCTGGAGAAGGATATCATGTTTGGTAAGGTGGAGGGTCAGAGCAAAAGAGGAAGTCCCCCAACAAGATGGATTGGCCAGGTGTCAGCATGGCAACAATAGTGAGGCTGGCCCAGGAATGGGCAGTGTTTCATTCTGCTGGGCATAGGGTCGCTATGAGTCAGTACCAACTGGATGGCACCTAACAACAACAAAAACTCTCCTGGTGGGTGGCGCTGTGGGCTAATGCATCAGACTGCAAAGTTATTTGAACAACAATGTCGGCAGTTGAAGCTCACCAGCTGCTCTGTGGAATCCCTATACTGGGTTGCTATGGGTCATAATCACCTAGACGGCACTTAACAACAATGACAACTCTCATCTGAAGCACTCAGCCCTTGTACAGAATCTGTCTGTTTCTACATGACCCAGAAGAAAGTCAATAAAGCTCTGCAGACCCAGAAGCATGAGTACTAAGTCTCTGTGCACGAGCCAGCCAAATTCAAACAGTGTCATTCTTGGACCACATCCCAAAGCTAGCCAAAACACCGAAGCCTTGAGTGGCTTATTTCAGACCCATATCCAGAGATAAAGTGGTTTACCTGATATAACCATACAGCAGCAAGAGAAGTAACTTCTCCTATTAGCCTACTTGGTTTTCCCTTTCCACACTGTAAGCTCCACTCTTGCCAAAGGTGGTTCACCTTCCTTCTCCATAGTAGTACCAACCTATCAGAGCTAGGATGGTGGTGGTGGTAGCACAGTTTTGTGCCATGGAGTTGGTTCCAACCCATAGCAACCCTATGTAGGGTTTCTGAAAGTATAAGTATTTACAGGAGCAGAAAGCTAGAGTAGACCATATTATCCTTACCCTTCACAATGCATGATGGACTAATAAACAACATCATGATAAGTTGTAAAAAACTACAGCTGTCAACAATCTTATTCTACTTAGATCCACAATTAACATCCATAGAATAAGCAGTCCAAAAAAAAAATTTTTTTTTTTTAAATCAAACAATATTCACAGGGCAAACTGCTACAAAACAACTCTTTTAAAATC